GGGATAATTGCCTTCACGGTTGGGGTGGAGGAAGAAACCCGCCTCCAGGGAGAACCAGAGGTGCGTGCCTGCCTCGGCATTTGAGGCAGTCTGGTGCGGGTCGCCCTGCTTGCGCCTTGCACCCGTAGCTGCTGCTGTGCCACCCTGAGCTGTCCCGGCGGCCGCTGTGGTCGCTGCTGCCCCAGTGTCCGACCATTTCTGCGTGTAAAGTGCCTGGAGCCCACACAGGTCCGACATGAGACTGGCGCCAGCACCCTCACTCCCGCCCACGACAGAAAGGCCGGTTAGCATCTTGGATGCCACGTTCACCTTCATGGCAAGCTTCTGCATCGTTGCGCTCCTGTCCTGACCGTCCTTAGTGCTATGGTTGACCCCCTTCTTTTCTCCGTGTTGGTTCCCCTTGGCGTGTGTCAGATTCCTGTGGTTTGGCGAGGGGAGGAGCTGGGCCTTATCCACGAGCACCTAGATCATCATGATTCCGGTCTGTCAGTTTGATCAGTTGTCTTCAGAAGGCCCTTCGGTTTGTCCCGTGCATGCGTGGTGGCTGGCCTCTGCATCCCCGCCACGCTCCCTTCACCCAACCACTCACATGTGGACACTGCTCCAGAGCTGCTGCAGTGGGTACTTCTGGTCGGGCGCCACCTGCCCAATGCCCAGAACGAGCCAGGGGGCCTTGCTCCTCTGGCAACCCCGCACAACCATGGGTGCATCTGCCAGCATCCGGGATGCCGGGGAGCTCCTGCAGATGTACTGGTCTAAGGTAGCCAGGGAGAAAACCTCGTGGATGTGGCCGCAGGCTCACCTGATCACGGATACTGCACAAAGGCTGTTCGGGATCAGCCAGGAGGGCCTGGCCGTCGGCGGGCCCATGCCTGGCAAGGTGACCGCCACCAGCAACTTCATGACGCAGTTTCAGAAGAAGGTCTTGGACAAGGTCCTGCGACCGTCAACTATAACTGAAGGCCACGGTGCTGTGGCAGCTGCAGTGGGAGCTGAGGCGGTGGATGCTGCAGCTAACAATGGTGCTGGTGCAGCAGCAAGAGCAGCTGCCGGGGACCACAAACAGGTGGTGGGTGGTGGAGAGGCTGCTGCCATGGGTGCACATGCCGTGGATGGCGGCACTGGTGGCGGCTGCACAGCAGGCGTCGCAGCAGCAGCAACCACAGGGGGGGACACCGGCACAGGTCCCAGGCAGGGCGAGGCGGGCGTTGCCCAGGTAGCAAACCTAGCAGCTGAAACTGCCCAGGCCATGCATCCCAGGGGTGGCAGGACCAGTGCTGTGCGCGGCCCTGCCACCGTAGGGACCAGTGTGGATGCGGGCATGGCAACAGCCCAGGCCCCAGTTGAGGTCACAGGTGCCGCTGGCGGCACATGTGGCCGTGGGCGATCCGGAACCGCCGCTGGCACGCGCGGTGGTTGAGGGTGTGGACGCAGCAGTGGCGGGAGAACTGGGCGCGGGACAGGGTGCGTGGAGAGCAACACAGGCGGTGGAGCCGAGGAGGCATGGGTGTCTGGAGAGAACGATGTGATTGAGGTGAGGAGTGTTTGCTCGTTTCTGGACTGCTTGCAACCAGGGCTGCCTTGTAACCCTTTTGGAACCTGGGGAGCATGTTGAACAAGGTCGAGGGGTGCTGATGGGTTATGTCAACGTTCAACGTCAGGGCAGCTTGTTGGGTCTTACCCTGATATTTTACCTTGAACGTAAGCACTGGGTGTTGCCAGCCCCCCCCCACAGGACGAGGATACCACCAACTACGATGCGTTCAAGGAGTGGGTCGGCGAGGTGCCAAGAGCAGCTAAGGGCGAAGCTGGCAAGCACAGGCGGGGTGGCGGTGATGACGACGACCTGGGTGCAAGGTCGGGGCGCAAGGTTGGAAATAAACGGCAGAAGGGGAACAAGGGTGCAGGCCGGGGCAGGGGTGCAAGCAAGGGGACCGCCAGAGGTGCAGGGAAGGGCGGTGCAGGCAAGGGAGGGCGGAGGGGGCAGACAGAGGAGGGTAGCTCGGAGGGTGGGTCGGACACTGGTGAGGAAGAGATCCTAGCCGCTGGCGCTGGGGAGGAGTCCAGCTCGGAGGACACGGGCAAATATAGCGAAGCTAGCAGCAGCAACAGTGGCAGTGGCAGCAGCGGCAGTGGTGGAAGCGAGCAGTAACATGGCAGCAGTGATGAGCGCTTGGGGGTGCACACACCAGGTCGGCCCCAGGCAGGATGGGACAGACCAATCCCAATAGGTGCCGGTACATGTCATGCATCGGGGGTTTCATCCGTAGGAGTAAGCAGTAGGCACGAACTCTGCAAGTGGTGGTGAGACTTCTTGGCGAGCACTTGCTGTATGGGGGGTGACACGAACGCTGTTTTAGAGGACGATGGTTGGGATGAATGCATCAGGCTGTCAGGCTGGCTGGTTGGCGTTGTGAGTCCAAAGCACCTTGGTCCACAAGCATACTGAGACTTGGGCTACTTTGACAAGGGGTTCACGTCCATCTTGAGGCTTGCCGCAGTATTCACCAATCGTTAATTTAACATGCAGTAAGCGTCACATTGCAGAGTAATATCTGCCCGTGTAACCCGTGATAACAGGGTCTTCACCCGTAATTGTACGTGTAATTGGTTACATGTGCCCGTAATTCACCTGCAGCACTGCGTAATATCCACCCGTAATCACTGGGTATTCACCCATAATTGTGCGGGTAATCGGCTACATGCGCCCGTAATTCACCTGCAGCACCGCGTAATATCCACCCGTAATCACTGGGTATTCACCCATAATTGTGCGGGTAATTGGCTACATGCACCCGTAATTCACCTGCAGCACCGCGTAATATCCACCCGTAATCACTGGATATTCACCCGTAATTGTGCGTGTAATTGGTTACATGCGCCCGTAATTCACCTGCAGCACCGCGTAATATGCACCCGTAATCACTGGGTATTCACCCATAATTGTGCGTGTAATTGGTTACATGCGCCCGTAATTCACCTGCAGCACCGCGTAATATGCACCCGTAATCACTGGGTATTCACCCATAATTGTGCGTGTAATTGGTTACATGCGCCCGTAATTCACCTGCAGCACCACGTAATATGCACCCGTAATCACTGGGTCTTCACCCGTAATTGTGCGCGTAATTGGTTACATGCGCCCGTAATTCACCTGCAGCACTGCGTAATATCCACCCGTAATTCCGGGGTAGTCGCCCGTAAATGTTCACCGTATCCTTGTGCTCAAATTACGGGACCCGTAACGTGTTACCGACCCGTAATTTCTGTCAAATTACGGGTGGATTGACCCAAAGTTACGGGTAAAATGACCCCCGTTTTCCCAGAGTGACATGGCCCAGCACTGGTGTGACTATCACACGTGTCGTCACCGCATCCAGCTCCACCCAAAGCACTTCCAACAGCCGGTGGCATGCACTCAAGCCCTGGACGTCTGTCATGCTGGCAGGCAGGGGCGGGTTCTGTTGGTCAGACCAGACAATCCCGTCTGGCACTGCCACTGCAGATGCGCACCCATGTGGCCGATCCTCTTGCATGTAGGGTTGGCAGGGGTACTATACTAGAAAAGAGTACTATACTATAATAGTACTATGCATAGTACTATTTACTATGCAGGGCTCTAAACTGGTACTAGTTTACGACGCTCGTACCGCGTTCGTACATAGTAAAATAGTATAGTAAAAATAGTACTAGATAGTACTAGATTTGGGTTTGGATAGTGTCCAGTACTAGTTGGACCAAGTCGAGATCTGCAGTCAAGCTGTATTTTGAAGGGCTATAGCCGCGTCTTCGAGCTGTGCTACGTAGTTATTGATGAATAATGTCAAAGGAATCCAGTATAAAGAATGACAAGGCGATCAGAGGCTTGCATCCTGGTCCAGACGTCCCCCCTGAAGTTCTCCGTTCTCGGAACGAGCTTTTTAACAAGCTACGTAACCAGAAGAAGAACGCCAAGACGGGTAGTCTTTGGGACAACTTCGATGTGGAGTGGTGGGGTGGTCTACCAAAGCTAGTCTGCCTGTTCTGCGATGAGCCGCTCAGCGCCGTGAACCCATCCTTTACCAACGCGCACCACATCAAGCAAGGTGCTTGCAAGGCTATCAAACAGCGTGCAGCGTCACTCAGCCAGCAACAGCAACAGAGTGGAACCAGCTCTGCTGCGGCGGGCCCCAGCACGGCGGATCAGCAGGCCCTCTCCAAGCGCCGGCGCGGCATTGATGGCCAGACCCAGCAGCAGCAGCAACAGCAGCAGCAGGGAAACGTACATCCCTAACACGCAGATTGATGACTGAGCAACGATAGATTGAGCTGCGGCAGTTTGCTGAATTGGAGGGTTACGTACTGGGCCGTTGTAGTGCAGGAACTTCACTAGTATGGCGTCCGTGTGTTGTCTTGTCAACACTGGGTCTTCTATCTGTGATTATGTCTTTATGTGCCATAACACGCCTTGAGACATGGGGTTTGGGGTCCACCTACCGGGCACTGAACTAACAAAAAGTGATCTGGATGACCACAGCGATCTGCTTTCTCATGTCTAAGTAGATATTTAGAAAGAACAAAAGAAGACCTTTCCAACGGTGTAATTTTCAGGTACAACGGTTGGTCGTACACCCCCCTTCTACAGGGAGCGTGTACTTGCCTAGTAATAGTATCATAGTACTATATTACTATATATAGTACTATTTCTTACTATACTATACTATTTGGGAAAAATAAATATAGTATTTTTGCCAACCCTACTTGCATGCCAGCAGCCACTCGGGTGTTGGGCCTGAGCAGATCAGGCACAACAGCTTTCATCTGTCCGGCACTGTGCATCAGTTGCCACAGCATGGTGCCAGCACCCTCACTATCAATGTGCACGTGCTGACCTTATCTTTACTGCACAGTTGCATGAGTGTGCTGATGTGACCACCTTCTGCCCCTGCCAATCCAACTCCAGCCGCCCCATGCACACATGGCCGCCTGACAGCTGTCTGGCATCACAGACGCAGACAAACAACATGCAGACAAACAACATGCCCTCAAATGTGAGTACAAGCAGCACCGCACTTGATTGCCTAGCGATTTGCAGCCAGCCGCTGTACTGCCTTCTGGTAGCTGTGCTTCAAATGTCTCATTCCCCTCTAAGCACAGCCGCAGCTCTGTCAGCACCACGCTGGCCCAACACTGGGCCATCACTGCTCTGCCGCGCTGCTGCACAAGTACGCTGCCAGCTACATGCTAATATGTCGCCAATGGACCGATGCTGGTGTTGTTGCTGATCCGAGCCTTGACAAACATCAGACATTCACTCATTGCATCGCAGCAGACCAACTCTTACATGGTTGTTCATGTCCTTGCACTGCCTTCGCTTCATGGTCCCTTCATAAAATACACGCTTGAATTTCCCATTCCTAACCACGCTCCATGGTTGAATCTTGATGTTCAGTGCCATACCATGCTGACCGGGCCTGATGGCCACCTTGCACCATTCACGAGGATGAAGATGTATGGCCTGTACATACAATGCCTTCCTGACAACCTTACTTGTGAATTGGCGTCCTGCCAAACATCCATGTCCCTGACGTCAAGCATGCCATCACATGGTGCATGTTTTCCTTATGGTTCACCACATACATTGCACGCGCCAATGAGCCTTCACACCGTTTGTGCCTGCACCATGAGCTTCAATCCACCCGACCAAGCCAATCTGTAGCTCCTCCCTGATGGACGCACAAGGTGCACCCGCTGCCCCACTGCAGTGGCCACACAACAGCGTGGTGAAGCTTAACCACCCTGTAACAACATCAACAGCGGTCCCAAACGGCCACATCAGTGCCTGTCCTTGCACATGTAAGTCAGACGCTCCCAGCACATCCTGCTGCCTGCGGTCTGGTCCATGGCCGCAACCACCACCTGATACACCTGCAGCAGCACAACCCCCACCTGCCACACCTTCACAGTGGCTGGCCACCACCATGCTACCAGCGGCTGGATCACAAGTGCAAGGGCGGCAGCGTCCAGGCCCTGGAACTGCAGCATCACACTGTTCCCAGCCGTTGTAACACCAGGCAAAAAGTACTCAGTTGGGAGATGCCAGGGGAGCTGATCCCTCTTACATTCCTCCCCCCCTAGAGTGAACATCCTTGGGCGCCCCCGGGCATATCTTGTAGGATTGAGGTTGTTTTGAGATCCCGTAGGATTGTGAATTTGTTATTGTGACATTTCGTCAGTTCCCGTCCAAGATGGAGGACTTTGTTTTTACTCAGCTGGTAGGCTTCTCACCCGCCCGGGCATCCACCTTTGGAGTAAGAGTATGCTGCATCATGCCTGGTGTGTGATATGTTCACAACCGTATTCGATCCGGGGAGTTCCCACCTCCTAGCAATTCGCACCAATGTAACACCAGGCAAAGAGTACTCAGTTGGGAGATGCCAGGGGAGCTGATCCCTCTTACACCTGTGCTCATGCCAGCGTCTCAGTCCCGAGATGACGGTCCACCGATGATGCAGCAGAACCCGCAGCACCTGAATCATGCCAACTGTGCTGGGCGTACTTGTCCTTCCGCCAATGGCAGACCTCGCTCCCACCGTCCACCACCAGCGAAAAATGTACACAGCCACGCGCGCATCCATGCAGGTATCTGCATCACAAACCCACTGCTGCTGTCAGCAACCTTGCCACTGTGAGCATGCCGTGCACCCTTCCCCAGATGCACCCTAGCATCATACAGCGAGCCCCTGCATTGCATATCTCCACCCACTGGTTGTGTGCGACGAACTGGCCGTTGGCCGTCAGCACCACCATGCAGCCGCACAAGTCGAACGAGTTGAGCAGCTCGTAGGTGGACAAACATGACCGCAGGCACACCTGTATGTGCAGCTCCTTCCCGGTGTCCACCAGGCCTGCATGCAACATACAACTTCATGTTAGCCATCAGTATTCCTTGCAGGAGCACACATGTGCACACACCCTATGCATACACTCTGCAATCATTACATGGAACACAACATTGCCTGCCCACCTCCTGGCCGCTACACCATGCCTCACCGCCTGGTACCAGCATCACAGCATGCTCGGCCGCAATGTGGACCAGGTTCGGCTGGACCAGCGGCTCCAGACGCCCCAACAGGTCGGCCACCATTTCACATCGTCGACATGGATGTCGACGATCGGTGTACGGAATGGCTGGTGCAGCAGCAATGTTGAGGGGCAGCCGCCAGCCACCACCCAACCGTCACCGGGCTTCTGAGCACCCTCGCCTGCATGCAGCCACCCCTCTGCAACACCCCGATGATTCGATGCGGACAGGACCTCCAGCACCAGGCACAAGGCGCTGCCTCGCATTCCTTCACTGGTGGTGACTGCACATGGAACATGCTTGACCCGACCCGCATCAGCAGGCACGCGGTGCAACAGGCTGGCAGCCTGCTCACTCCTGATGTCCACCACTTGGCGCTGGGGACATGCCGGCCGCATGCCCTTGTCGCCCGACGCACACATTACGCTGCTGGGAAGCTTGGGATGTCACGATGAAGACATCCTGCGCGGGAACTACACCAACACAGAGTTCAATGTACTCTTGGCTGAGGGCTGCAAGTACTGAAACGACTTTGAGGCGCAGTACGGTGCCAAGCCCACCAGCAGTCACCCCCTACCTCACCATCCATTGGTCGCCTGCACAAGCTTCTGTCCCCATTGCCCACTCACCATCTGCTCGGCCATGCAGCCACAGCGCACCCATCAGTAACACCCTGCTGCATGCCTTTACTTCCACTGCCATCTGACGACCCTCTCAATGACCCTCTCGTCCCCCATGCCGATGCAGCGTACTTGTACAACATCACCGTGGAAATTCACGAGGGGAACATGCCGGACAGGGCAATGGCCACACATGCGGCCGTTATGCAGCTGTGGATCACGGCTGCCAGCAGCCTCCGTGCTGATACGGCCATCACTCTAATATATGACTACGGCATGGACGCCACCACCGTCCTGGCCGCGGACCAAGACTTCACACACTCGGTGCTAACCATCACAGCGCAGGCGTGAGCGTCGGGCGCCCTCGTTCCTATGACGCCAACGAAATGTCCGGCCGCCGGCCTGCCGCACCCAATTCATATGGGCCCCCTGCACATGACTCTACACCATCACTTGCACGCCAACAGGAAGGGTGTACGTCGGCCAATCCAAGAACCCTCAACGGCCCTTCGAAGCTCATGCCCATGCCCCACCCACTCGAATGAAGAATGACGTCCGCCTCTACCAACCCTTCCGGGACCACTTCACCTTGACATGCCTCATGTCCACCACGAATCCAAGACTTGCCGACAAGATGGAGGCGTGCTACATTGCTCAGTACAAGTCCCTTGGGCCAGACGGCTACAATGTGCTGCACGGGCCTCCTTCTGCCAGCCCGACCTTCTACATGATGACCCAAAACCGTGCCGGTACCGCACACACGCCCGCCGCCGCATTACAAGACACCGCCCAACCGACGCTTGTGATGCCAAGCGAGCGACCCGGCACTTAACGGATGGTGTCCTGGCGCGTTCCGCGCTACCGTTGTGGTCATAGAGCACTGGCTGTTGTTAGGCACCCACGCCCTTAATATTGCATACATGTCCGTGGGATACTCTTGTGTGAACAGCGGCTGGTGCCGATACCGACACCACTGTTTTGTGTGGTATGTTTGGTGCCGATACCGACACCAGCGTTTTGGGTGGTATGCTGCTCCTTACAGGGACTGCTCGTGGCGTGCTCGGTTGAATGCCGAGTTTACCTATCATGATGTTTGCTTGCATATCCCTCCAAGCGAGAGGGCTTGGACCTATGCTAATGTTCGTTACAAGAAGTGAACTGAGGACTGATGTTACACGTAATGTATACGCGTTGCTTAGCTTGCAACGTCACGCGCCCACGATGAATTGTATGCACGTAAATTCGCCCGTGCGCCGAACGCCTTGTAAAACTTCAACTACACTCACAATATACTGCTGCGCTATTCCCTCCAGTCCTGCCACATCATGTTTCACCGACGTACTTCGGCACCTTCCGCATCTATTTACTTTTCGTACGCGGTCAGCTGCTTCACCAGGACCCCTGTGTTTACAGTGGGCTAGACTGAATTTGTATAAAAAAATGCGTCTGAAAGTTAAAAATTACAAATTGCACGCCATGCTGATCGATACATAGTTGTCATGCATAATTCCAGTAAAGCTTAACATCAAGGAAGCACTATGTAATCATATGGCTTTGTGATTAAGCAGCCCCTCGCACAAATGTGTCCGGTCGTACTGTGCCGAATAAACGGGACGTACATCGTCCAAAAAAGCCAGGAGCGAATTTTGCCGCGCGGATGCGCGCTTTCGATTCGCAAAATGCGCCTGTACAAGCGTATATAATTTTCCTTGGCGAAGAAAGGACGAGGTGCGCGAGCGTCGCGCTGTTGGCCACAGCCGCACGCGGCATGCAGGCCGGAAATGTGGGGGGCTCCTGTGCCGCAATTAAAAGAGCGGAAATCATGCAACGTAGCTTGCAAGGCTTGGCTCAGGCACGGCCGCAGGAAGAGAAAGCGTCGAGCGAAGCGACACTGTTGTGCAAGTAAACGGTCGCGCCTTTGGTAGCGCAACGTATACAGCACCTTGTTCAAAGTCAAGTCAAAACATAATGTTCGCAACATTACATACCAAAACACAAGTAAACTTAAAAACAGAAAAGGGCTTCAGAGTTTTGTCGGCGACCTGATGACCTGGAACAGCTTTTTGCTGCGCATACGGCCGTGCCTGCGATAGCCGTGTTGCAGCAGCTCCGAATGGACTTGAGCCAGCAGCAGGCTCAAGAACTGCTGCACACCCACCGGGAACATCTGCAGTTGCGCACATGCAGTTTTGGTCGGCATGGCCGACCATCCTACGCAGTGTGCACGCAAGCCGAGGTGCAGCGACTCTGCTACTTCGCCAACGTATCAGGTACGCATTGGCAGGGTTGCCGAGAATGAAATGATTTGGGTCGCATTTCAGCGGTCCACTAAGCATGCATGTGCGCCAGCAGATCAAGACACGGCGCACTTCTGGTCGACGGCTGTCGGTCTGCGTTTACGGGGTAAGGCAAGATGAAGAGGTGTCATAGGTCGAGGCAGTGGCGCAGGACCTGTTGTCTGGTATAGCTCACATTAGTCCGCTTTTTTTCAGGAAGTAAGTAACCGTAAGATTTGATGCCATTTCCTATCCTGGCGACTGCAATTGGTGCGATCATGACTGTATATAAACCGCCAAGCCTGTTCATATATAGCTACAACGCCTGCTGAATCGTCCGCTGCATATTACCCTATTCGACAGGTCTGCATGGTGCAACTGTCGTCGTGCAGCCCATCCTGTTGATGACTCAGTGTCCGATACCGGTACAGCCGACACGTCATCCATGCTAATCGATTCACAACCAACCCGCGATCGCGTAGGAAATGTAGAGCCATCCTGCGGCACCGGTAAGCGCGTGCCAATGTGGGACCTATGCCTTATCCTTCCGTGCCAATTGTACCTATGCCTTATCCGTGCCAATTGTACCTATGCCTTATCCTTCGTTACTACAACATAGCAGAGGACCGACGCAACGTGCACTGTACACGCGCTGTTGTTGCTGTTGTTCTTGTTGTTCTAGGTGTTCTTGTATACGCGCGCGACGACATGACTGCATGTACATTGCGCCGTGCGCCAAACGCCCTGTAACTCGCTTACGCTAATCTCACATTCCAATATGCCACTGCACTTTCCTCTCCAGCCTGGCCACATTCTCTTCCTCGCAAACGTACTTGGGCACCTTACAATCCAACACCATACGTGCTTTGGAAACGCGGGCAGCTGCTTCACAAGGACCCCCCTATTTATAGATTCAAGGGTCACGGGGATCACATGGTGCCAGAGCTTTGCCGTACGCGCTCTTACGTAAGACATTTGAAAATGGAGAAAACATCCACATCCGAGTTTCTGACTGTGTTTCTGACTGTGTTTCTGACATACACTTGTACACGCGCATTTTGAGAATCGCACGCGCGCATCCGCGCTGTAAAATTCGCTCCTGGCTTTTGGGGCGTCTTGTACGGCCCGTTTATTCGGCACAGTACGACCGGACACATTTGTGCGAGAGGCTGCTTAAAAATACGTTTGTCTGCTACATAACCCGGTAGAATTGTGGTGTTATGATAAATAGGGGGGTCCTTGTGAAGCAGCTGCCCGCGTTTCCAAAGCCCGTATGGTGTTGGATTGTAAGGTGCCCAAGTACGTTTGCGAGGAAGAGAATGTGGCCAGGCTGGAGAGGAAAGTGCAGTGGCATATTGGAATGTGAGATTAGCGTAAGCGAGTTACAGGGCGTTTGGCGCACGGGCGAATTTACGTGCATACCTTTCACCGTAGCATCAGTCCTCAGTTCACTTTTTGGAACGAACATCAGCATAGGTCCAAGCCCTCTCGCTTGGAGGGATATGCAAACAAACATCCTGATAGGGGTAAACTCGCACGCTACCGAGCATTCAACTGAGCACATGCATGCTTAGTTGAATGGTGAGATGCGACCCCCCCTTCATTTCGTGCTCGGCAAGCCTGCCACCGCGTACCGGATATGTTGGCGATGTTACAGAGACGCTGCACCTCGGTTTCTGTGCGCAATGCGTAGGATGCTCGACCCCGCCGACCAAAACTACACGTGCCCAATTGAAGACATTCCCGATGGTTGTGCAGCAGCTCTTGAGGCTTTGTTGGCTGAAATCCATCCTGAGCTGTTGCAACACGGCCAACACGGGCACGGCCCTATGCACTGCAAATAGCTGTTCCAAGCCAACAGCGGCGTCCATGTCACCGACAAGGCTCTAAACGTCTTATCTGTTCTTATGTATAATTAAGTTTATGTATGTTATACTTTGCGCAACTTTGTAATTTGACTTTAGTCGGAACAAACTGCCGCTTCGCCAAACGCTTCCTCTTCCGCGGCCGTTTCAAGCGCCCAGTCTTGCAAGCTACGTTGTTTGCTTTCATATCTTTTCATATCTTATTCGGCTCAGGCTAAGCAGCCAGCCAAAAGTCCGAGATGCATGCCGCTTGTGACTGCGGCCAACATGCCTTGATGAGCGGCCTTTCGCCGAAAAAATTATATACACTTTTACACGCGCATTTTGAGAATCGCACACGCGCACCCGCGCGGTGAAATTCGCTCCTGGCTTTTGGGGCGTCATGTACGGTCTGTTTATTCGCGAAGTACGACCGGACACATTTGTGCGAGAGGCTGCTTAAAAAATAAAATGCAACGCGTTGCCAGCTTCCGCGAGTCTCTCAGCGCGCGAACAGCTCGACAATTTCCCATGTTCCCTGTTACCAGGAGTCCCCTATAACAGCAACCGCGAGGGAAATGCGTGAGCTTAAACATAATTGAAAGTGATTGCGTATCCACTCAACGATGTGGCATTAAACAGCGCTGTCCATTCTGGTCCATTCACCTTGGACCGATTCCAGACCAATCGCATGCTCATTCCTTTTGCCAGCTGATGTCATCCATCTGCCTCCCCCTCCAGGGCCAGCTCAACCAAGAGCAACCCCCAACACGGGTGGAGACCCGAGCAGAGAAACGCATCCCCTTAACTCCTTTTGCGCATCACGCGCATCATCGCAGTGGTGATGGTGATGATGCGCGGAAAAGCAACGACAATTGATGATCCGGAAAAGCAACGGCGCGCAAGCGCACCTCTGTTCCGCGCGCTTCCGTAAATCCCCATTCCTGAAATCTTGTAGACCACATCTGACTTTAAGTACAGTACAAAATTAAAAAAAAGCCCAAGCCCTACAATCTTGAATACAACAAAATACGCACTTCTCGGGGATGTTCGCGATTGACGTTAAAAGGATAATGGCAGCCAATTTCCAGCTCGCCTCGGCCCCATTTCCAACTCCTCGTTCCTAAATCTTTCCCTCCCTAAATTCAAATTCGCGCACGCTGCGGTTCCGCAATGCAGCTACAGTACCAGCTCGGCAATCTGATGGCCCGGGATTGTACCGCCGCCACCGCTGCCGCCGCCACCACACGCACGACTACCGACTACACTCGCTCCGGGGTGAGGAAACCCCCTCCCAACAAACCAACTTTGCGAGGAGCAAACCGAACCGAAGCTCTCAAGACACCCGTAATGGGCTGTGCGGGACGTCTTCGACGTAGTTACGCCAGGATCAACACTCTCTCTCCCTCCCTCTCTCCTCTCTCTCTCTACCTCCCTCTCTCCTCTCTCTCTCTACCTCCCTCTCTCCTCTCTCTCTCTACCTCCCTCTCTCCCCCTCTCTCTACCTCTCTCCCTCTCTCTCTACCTCTCCCGTCCAGTCGCTCCCGTCCTGTGCTATCACTAGCCTTCGTGGCCCCCTTCCTCGGGCGCCTTCATCGGGTAATGTAACACCCCCCCAACCTAATGCTGGGGGGACCGGCGCACGACGCGTTACACATCCCGAACTCCTGCCGTCTCAGTTAGTACGATTAATGACCCGTCGCGTTAAGATAACGAACAGCCACGACAACCACGATCAACCGCTAAATGCCAAAACCACCACCACCTGACGCAAAGCCACCTACAATCTAAATTAAACGGGATTAATAGGATGAAGAAAAATGACAGCACCCGACATCACGAGCTCCTCTACACAGGGAGTCACAGAAGTTCCGCAACTGACCAGAAGCGCTATTAACCAACCGTAACGGTAACGGCAACCAACCAACCGTAACGGCAACCAGCCAACAGTCCATCATAAAGAACCACTGTCACGGGAGACTCATCCTGACGAGCCATACCTTGTCTTGCCCTGCCTTCGTCATCCGCACAAGCTAACTGCCCAGTTGCCGTACAGGTGTACGACAGTAGTATGGTACGACAACAGCGGCCAGTGTTATGTGTCGTTATAGCAGAGACCGTGCATGTGCACATTGGCCTTGGTCCAAACTAGCCACGCTAGTCAACTCGAGCACGAGGCCGAGGAGAGGAGAGGCAAGGCAAGGCAATAAATGCCAGACGTTTTAGGCATCATCTAGGATTTGCAAAGCCAGAGGACCAACCAAGCTGTGCACGCCGCATGTTCAGGCTCCTAAAACTCTATAAAACCAAAGGCATCCAAAATTGGCGACGCCTAAAACCGAAATGCTAAAACACGACTGCGCACTCCCGCGCCAGCGCCGCCTCCACCAGCTCGTCCGGGGTCCAGTAAATGAGATTAAATTCCTCCAAATCGCGCATGTCGGCGCGCATCAGGGCTTCGTACTCGTACGGCATCTCGTCCAACGTCCCAAGAAAGCGATGCCATGCGGCATCATCCTCGTCTACATCAACCTTGCCGCCATTGCCGTACCCATCATTCTGAACCTTCACCCTGCTACCGTCCCCGTCTGCGCTGCTATTTCCAACCTCCCTGCCGCCGCCGCCGCCGCCGCCGCCATCGGGAAGGTCGCTCTCGTTAGCGCCGTTACCGCGACCATCGGCCGAATAGGTTTCGGAGCCTTTGATCGCAGGCGTGCCGCTGGCCATCATCCAGGCCACCGTCCGCGCTGCCGCCGCTGCTGCTGCAGCCGCCACCGTCACCTCCGCCGCCACCGACGACGACGGAGGTGCACGAGGGAAGCTCCGTGGCGGCGTGACGGTGACGTTCCCATCCGGCGTGGACGGCCGTACTGGTGTACTACAAAAGTCGGTTGGCACGGACAGGCATGGTGCTCCAAGCAGCGCCAAGGTGGACGACCACTCGCTTGTCTTGGGCGCCGTACAGCAGAAGCTTCTGGCCATAATTGCGCTGCCGCTGCCGCTGCCGCTGCCGTACCACCCGCTGTCGCCAAGCCACCAGAAGTCACCCTCGCCGCTCTCTGGTGTAGGTTTCTTGACGTCAATACCATCATGACATCTTTGAGCGTCGATGGCGGTGGAGGTTAAGCAGGACGGCTTCTCTGGGTTGCAATTGTCCCGTGTGACCCATGGGTCGGTTGCCGCTGGCGGCTGCTGGCAGAGGTCCCGCGTCAGCGCCGCCTCCACCAGCTCGTCCGGGGTCCAGTAAATGAGATTGAATTCCTCCAAATCGCGCATGTCGGCACGCATCAGGGCTTCGTACTCGTACGGCAGCTCGGGCATCCCATCGAGAAGACGTCGCCATGCCGCATCGTCGTCCGCAACATCGTCTGAATCGCCCTTTGTCGCCGCCGCGACGACAGCACCGGCGGCGGCGGCGGCGGCGGCAGCGGCGGCTCTACCCTCCTCAGCCGCCGCTGCTAGGCCCACATCGTTGTTTGTCGGATTCCCGTCGTCGTTTCCAGGAGCAGGAACGGAAGCTGCTACAGCGGCGGTGGCGGTGGCGGCGGCGGCGACGGCGCGGCCCCCGCCGTTGTCCTCCATTGGCCGCTCTACCTCCGCTACTGCATTCCCTGGTGGCGTTGAGACCCGGCGGTACGACAGCGGAGTGCATCTGGCGGCAGGTGTGCCTGGCGACGGACATACCTCCCCCCCTTCCGCCACCTCTTCCCCTGCCACCTCATATTCCGGCGCCGTCAAGCTGACGACTGCTGCGAGGGGTGAGGGCGGCTTGGTCCGGGGGGGATGCGCCGGGTTTCGCCGCTGGATGGGGATGCCATCTGGGCCGCCGTTGCTGTCACTTCTACAGCTGTTACAATCGCCGCGGGGGCTGCAATCATCGAAACGCGGAGTAATCGGCGAATGAGGTTCATGGATGTCACTACCGTTACCGTCGTCGTTAAAGTCGTTGAAGTCACGTGCTAGAGCCGCGTCCACGAGTTCGTCCGGGGTCCAGTGGATGAGGCCATGGGCCTCAAGGTCGCGCATGTCGGCACGCATCAGCGCCTCGTACTCATACGACAGGTGCTCCTGGTGCAGGCGCCGCAGCAGCGGCGCTTCGTCATCCTCCTCATTCGAGTTAACGTCGTGCGCGTCCTCGAAGGGCGCACCAAAGAGCGGGTTGAAGGAGAAATGCGTTTCGGAAAAGAGGGCTTTCTTGGATGGCCGCGGTGAAAACACCGCATTGCCATATGTCTTGTAATCAGGGCCAGATGGCAGGTCGTCCGACTTCAAAAGGGCGAGGCGCTGAATCAATGCGAACTTCCGGGTTGCTAAAACCAGTGTCTCGGGCCGAACTTCAATGTCCCCTTCATAGCTCAGCTTAGTCTCTTTGTATTGATGGTCTGAATCGACGGTAAAATCGACCCAGGCCTCCAGGAAAGCAATGTCATCTTCGTTGAGAGGGCCGCGCAAATCGTCGAGGGGAAGCAAATCCAAGCCGGCATCGTGGTCCTTATCAATGTCAAGGCTTAAGGCTCTCGATAGATTCATAGGTTTAACCGACAGCGTCACTCTCTATCCGCCGGCATGTCATTCTGTAAAGCTTGGTCGCGCATGGCGCAATGAGGACAAGGCACGCATGACTTAATATGGCAAGTACAAGTAGAAGATCCACGTTACGTAGTGTTTTGCTTTCGTCAGCTGTGTGTCGTACTGCGCTCTGCGCTTCGCAAGCGCCGACCCTGCCCGAAGGTCCGACCGAAACGCGTCGTCGTAAGCAGTCAAAAAGAGTCCCAGAAATGTGTATGCTCGGCTGAAAATATTGTTACGCCAAGTTTTCAGACGTAAAGGCGGTAACGTTGCAGAACGTTGCAGAGCGTTGCTTCAGTTGGCTGTTTTGACATCCTTAAATCCCTATTAGCCTGAGGTTACAGCGTTCGCCCTTGCTTGTGTATACATAAAAAATCATAAAGTTTGCACTTTGCCGCCAGGGAAGTCCTAGAACTACAGTTAGCTGTTGCAGCCGTTGCTTTTTGGGAGTCTGGACGCAGGAGCAAACTGGTTGGCCGCGATGGATCATGCACGCAATGGAAACCTACACCATCAAGTATAAAAGTCTGCTTCCCAGTCCTCTCCTTCCCTTCCACGAAAGCAGGAAGTTAGGGCCGTACGTTTTGGAACGGCCGCCTAATCGCGCAGCACCTCCTGAGTGTTTTAACTTAGGGTTTTCAGTCGCTTTCCAACACTGAGTTGCTTGACAACTTCACAATATTTGAAGGATGCCAAAGGAAATTAGCCTT